TTTTCGAACTTTTTGAGGTTCGAAATGTTCAATATACAAAAATTGAACTTTTTCAAAAATATCGAATTATTTCGAATCTTTCCGGTCTCGGGGGCAAAGATTTGAATATACCATTGGATAGAGGACTAACATAAGAACATATTCCAACAAAAAAATTGTGGTGACATCCAAGAGTTTTCGAACTTTTTGAGGTTCGAAAATGTTCAAGTATAAAAAAACTTAACTTTTTCACAAAATATCGAATTATTTCGAATCTTTCCGGTCTCGGGGGCAAAGATTTGAATATACCATTGGATAGAGGACTAACATAAGAACATATTCCAACAAAAAATTGTGGTGACATCCGAAGAGTTTTCGAACTTTTTGAGGTTCGAAAATGTTCAAGTACACAAAAATTGAACTTTTTCACAAAAATCGAATTATTTCGAATCTTTCCGGTCTTCGGGGGCAAAGATTTGAATATACCATTGGATAGAAGGACTAACATAAGAACATATTCCAACAAAAAAATTGTGGTGACATCCGACGAGTTTTCGAACTTTTTGAGGTTCGAAAATGTTCAAAGTATGACAAAAATTGAACTTTTTCATAAAAATCGAATTATTTCGAATCTTTCCGGTCTCGGGGGCAAAGATTTGAATATACCATTGGATAGAGGAACTAACATAAAACATATTCCAACAAAAAAATTGTGGTGACATCCGACGAGTTTTCGAACTTTTTGAGGTTCGAAAATGTTCAAATACACAAAAATTGAACTTTTTCATAAAAAATCGAATTATTTCGAATCTTTCCGGTCTCGGGGGCAAAGATTTGAATATACCATTGGATAGAAGACTAACATAGGAAACATATTCCAACAAAAAATTGTGGTGACACCGACGAGTTTTCGAACTTTTTGAGGTTCGAAAACTGTTCAATACACAAAAATTGAACTTTTTCATAAAAAATCGAATTATTTCGAATCTTTCCGGTCTCGGGGGCAAAGATTTGAATATACCATTGGATAGAAGACTAACATAGGAACATATTCCAACAAAAAAATTGTGGTGACACCCGACGAGTTTTCGAACTTTTTGAGGTTCGAAACTGTTCAAATACACAAAATTGAACTTTTCATAAAAAATCGAATTATTTCGAATCTTTCCGGTCTCGGGGGCAAAGATTTGAATATACCATTGGATTGAAGACTAACATAGGAACATATTCCAACAAAAAAATTGTGGTGACACCCGACGAGTTTTCGAACTTTTTGAGGTTCGAAACTGTTCAAATACACAAAAATTGAACTTTTTCATAAAAATCGAATTATTTCGAATCTTTCCGGTCTCGGGGGCAAAGATTTGAATATACCATTGGATAGAAGACTAACATAGGAACATATTCCAACAAAAAAATTGTGGTGACATCCGACGAGTTTTCGAACTTTTTGAGGTTCGAAAATGTACAAGTATGAAAAAATTTTACTTTTTCACAAAATATCGAATTATTTCGAATCTTTCCGGTCTCGGGGGCAAAGATTTGAATATACCATTGGATAGAAGACTAACATAGGAACATATTCCAACAAAAAAATTGTGGTGACACCCGACGAGTTTTCGAACTTTTTGAGGTTCGAAACTGTTCAAATACACAAAAATTGAACTTTTTCATAAAAAATCGAATTATTTCGAATCTTTCCGGTCTCGGGGGCAAAGATTTGAATATACCATTGGATAGAAGACTAACATAGGAACATATTCCAACAAAAAAATTGTTGTGACACCCGACGAGTTTTCGAACTTTTTGAGGTTCGAAAATGTTCAAATACACAAAAATTGAACTTTTTCATAAAAATCGAATTATTTCGAATCTTTCCGGTCTCGGGGGCAAAGATTTGAATATACCATTGGATTGAAGACTAACATAGGAACATATTCCAACAAAAAAATTGTGGTGACACCCGACGAGTTTTCGAACTTTATGAGGTTCGAAACTGTTCAAATACACAAAAATTGAACTTTTTCATAAAAAATCGAATTATTTCGAATCTTTCCGGTCTTGGGGGCAAAGATTTGAATTTACCATTGGATAGAGGACTAACATAATAATATATTCCAACAAAAAAATTGTGGTGACATCCGACGAGTTTTCGAACTTTTTAAGGTTCAAAAATGTTCAAAGTATGAAAAAATTTACCTTTTTCACAAAATATAGAGTTATTTCGAATCTTTCTGGTTTCGGGGGATTTGATTTGAATATACCATTGGATGATTCGTGCTAAAACTAGACTCTATAGTCGCCCTCCGTCGGTTTCTTTAACTGTCGTCTTGAAATCTTCATTATTACGTCACAATATAGTCTGGTGAAGTATGTCGTGGTTTCGCATTGGAGTGAATGTATTCCAATGCATCGCATTATCTTCTTTTTTATTCCAGTGTTGGCCAACAACCAGATGTCAAAGGTGAGTAGCAATTGAAATTTCAGCAGTATATATTCCAGAATGGTTCTAAATATTAGCTCGTTTTGGGGGTTTAGCAAGCTCGAAAAAAGCCTTTATAAATTCAGCTGATCGCAGTTTACAAATACACTCGTCAGAATGATGTTATGATCTTGAATACCTCACTAGATATTGACTAGGCTATATGATAAATTGTAATTGCATTCTCATTTCAGTGAATCATTGATGAAACAAATCATAGGTATACTTCTGTGGATAAGATATATTGGAATTTTGAAGTTTTCATGAGAGAAATGAAAGGTATATATATTTGAGAATTTTAGGTTAATATTTTGAGAATTTTATTAGGTCTTGTGGCCAGCATTGATGATAGAGCAACTAATAAGTAAAAAATGGATTGTCGGTGTATAATCCATTTTTGTTTAACGCACAAAAAAGACATACCATGAACGAGCTCGCAGATTACCGCGATATTTCAAGAACGGGTTCTCGCGAACCTGCTGAATCCACAACTAATCGATTGAATCGACCTTGATTTGGGCAAACTTGTACTATATGCGAACTACAGAATACATGGTTCATGTCCTATCCCTCCCAAGTTTATCTTCAGGGGATTGTGTTAATGAACTTACAGGGTGTTCATGAGGTCTCGTTGTAATTTGTAATGAAGTCAGTTCTTTATAATTCCTAACCAGGTTTGTTTATTTCAATCCGTGTTAATTCTTGCATTTGAGACTTCATGAGCACCCAGTGTTAGCGGATTAACCGTGTGCGTAGCATAGTTAATGAATGGGATCAGATTTTGTTTTTGATGTGACGTGTAATTTTGAGATTATTTCAACCAATTTACTTACTACAAATACAAGAAAGGCGATAAAGTTTAGCATTGGTGACAGCTAGTTATATGTTATAGGCTTTAAAGAGCACCGTGCAAACAAAGCGAGCAATATTTCAAAAGGAAGAAAGAACCGCGTAATCAGGTATTTTACCAATAGGCAAAAAATTATCACCAGAATGTCAGAGTTTTTTATTTTGAAAAATTTAAATGAGTTTGAATCAGACGGTCAAAGAGAAGACTTTTTGAAGTCTTATGGATGTTGGATTAAAAGGTCAGCATCCACACGCATCTCTTGTCTCAAGATCTTTTACGAAAATAATTTGAACGATATTGAAAAATGCATCAATTCAAAAAAAAGTGTCGGGCAAAAGGAAATATGTACCACGAAAATACATAATAAATCTCAGGGTTTTTACAAGATGGCCAAAACTATGTTACACCAACGCCATGATACAGCAAGCAGGCATAAAATAAACCAAGTTATGAAAAACTTGACTAGATATAAACCAGATGAAGAAAACAATTATAATGATTTTCGGAAGAAAAAACTGAAAATAGCAAATTGAATGACGAAACTGTTTTATATTGTATTTGCAAAAGACCATATTCAGGCGAGTTTATGGTTGAGTGCGAAAGTTGTTTTAATTGGTTTCATCCGTCTTGCTTGTTTGACTCGTCGCCAGAAGGGGCGTGGGAGGATCAAAAGTTTTTATGCGAAGGAGAGAAAGTAGAAATAACAGGTAGGACCAGTAAAATATATTTTCATACCAAAAATGGGAATGGAAATTGCTGTGAGTTGATTTCGCCAAAACAAATTAAAGAAGAAATACATGGAAATGAAAAGTCTATGATTAATATTTCATCTGACCAATCAGATTCAGCGGATAGCGTTATAATTGTACGAAAGACAGGCAAAGGTCGCGCACGGAAGTCACGATTTGTAAACTCAGTTCAAAATTGTTCAAAAGATATTTCATGCAAACGCATTCCATCTTTCAAATCCCTGTACCGTTTGGGAAAGTATAATAAAAAAGTAATTAAATCGTTGAAAAGAAAAACTCACATT